ACTTAAATGGCTTGGGTTTGGGTTTGTCACATACCTACCTATGGCGAACCTATGGCGTTTCGGTGTCAGTAGTTTTGGTGTGCAGCCTTCTTTAATTAGCTCATTGAGTTTATTTCTAACATTCGTATATGATGTCCACAGTGAATTTCTATCAACTCTGGTATAGTTACGTGTATCATTTCGGAAATCAAAGGCTTTCCTTTCATACACTTTCTTAGATATAACTGCTATACCCTGATCTTTACCAGCTTGTTTAATCACAATATCTTTACGTTTTGACAGGTGCGTAAGAGCTTTGTATTGACGTCGACTCATGTTGGGATGGAATGGGTCACTTGATTGAATAATAGCGCCGCGAAATAATATTTTATTCAAGTTGAATTTCGGATATTTATCAGTTATGTTCTTAATCTGATCCGAAATTGAATTTGATGTGTCAAGTTGACACATCAATTCAAGTCAAGTTGACACTGGCAGCTATTAACAGTGCGATTCTCATTGAGAGTCATATTACTATCGAATGTCACACTGCGATTCTTTTCAGTATAAAAGTTTTTTCATTTCGATTGTCCTCACTATTACTCGTGTTGTATTTAGTTGTATTACGCCGAGAAGCATTACGTCGCGGTTGACGGTAAGTCAACCGCCGAGAAGCAGTTGTCTAAGGTTGTGAGAAGGTAGTCGGATGGGTAGAATTTTGGTTAGACGAATCATTAAATTCCGTGTTAGTGTAACTGACACTAACATGAGTTATCGTACGCTAATAGTTATCCGTCTGAGACGAATAACTATTAGCGTACGATAACTCATCCATATACGCTATCCCTTTTAGTTCATCCATCATCGAGTCGCAAGACGAATCACTCAAAGGTGGTTGAGATAACTTTATGCTCTTTTTCTTGTTACAGAATTCCTTGGGGTGCTTTTGTCCATTATAAAATGAGCAAATCGCAAAACACCTTGATTGACCATCCTTCCAATAACCAAGGTATATTGCTTTTCGTCGACGTGGCTTCGAACGACGAGGAGTTTTTTGAACATTTGATGAGCTATTATCCACCGAGGTATATTATCAAGGGGAAAACAACGAACTTTGGACTTCAGAGGACTTTTAAAAGTCTGACGGACTTGAGCGGACTTTAACCCTTTGGCTATCGACATAAGAGAAGGAAGAAACGATTTTGCAGAAAATTTATTCGTTTTTTATGGAACAATTCTATACCGCGCCATAATAAAATGGTGCTTTGGGAGCGCATGGCGCCTAACGTTTGTTTTTACGCAAATGCGTCTGAGAGACACACGTTACGAATGATTACTTCAGTTCATGCGAAGATGAGGCTTCTGACACATATATGCGTCGGCGACAGCCGAAGGGTAAAGTCCGCAAAGTCCGCTTGAGTATACCTAAGAGTAAGTTCTCTCAAAACTCATGTAGCTTTTTCATTTGCATTGAGCGCTGCCTTTTCATCCACCCATCCGTGATATTGATAGCCATACATCTCGAAAACTAAACGATGCCTTTTTCTAAAAAACGCCTTGCCATAGAGCACAACTTGTTCTCTTGACTTTAGTCTAGGGTCTTATCGGGTTAAAATGCCTGTATGTATGAACCATTAAAGATTAGGAACGACCTAACGTGCTCAATCGACCATCTCAGATTTCTTCCAACATAGTGGGTTTCTTTAGAGCAAACATTTTCATGAGTTTTGGCGAAAATCAGAGATCCTAACGTTGTTGCGTTGCTGAGATATTCAATTTTTGCAAAGAGCCCGAAAATGCACAAATTCCGGCATCTAAGGAAACTGTCAATTTAAAGTGCGTACAACTCCGTAAAGCCATATTACTTAGACTTAAGAATTTTCTCATAACTACTAGATAGTGTCTACTGCAAATTTAGACAACCGCGAGCTCCAGACATGCTTCCGTTCTTTTCCAGTAGAGGATCCCGTGAGAGCCCAAATCATCGATCCGGTCATTTTGGCAAACGGTTTTCTCCTGGGAAGCCGGGCGAATTTTTCTCCCCCTACGATATTCTTGGAGTACACCAAGTGTACTATCATGAGCTATGATGGGATTTTTGGGATCTTTGAAAATCCTCTGGAAAACCAAGTGAGGTTGCTAGAAAACCTGAGCCTGAAATTTTCAATCGAATTTGGGATTTTCACATCAACCATTTTATAGAGCATATCAAGTTATACATGTCGAGCTATTTTCAGAACTAGTCGATTAGTTTTAACTAAGTTTTAAATTTTTCAAGCACTAGAGTATTACCACGCACGTATATATAGTAGGGATGCACCGATACCCGAAACCTTAGTCTCCTATCGTCTAGAAAGTTTCGGTCTCGAATAGTTACGAGTCTCGAAATTTTAGTCTCGAATCGTATCGGTGCATGCCTAGTTTATAGTCAAATAGACTTCCACAGAAGATAGATACGAACATAAGGATAGGAATCAAAAGAAAGAAAGACGCAGCTGAAATAATTTACAGATCTATGAATGCATGAAAAAAACTACCAATCATATTACAGTGTTCACACTGTTACCACTCAGGCGCTAACAGCGGTAGTTTCGCCCCATATGTGAAAAAAACATTTAAACGTAGCTCGTGCTCGATCCGGCTCGCCTAGAGAAAAAGAAAGGCTGCTCGTGGCTCGACTCGAGCCTGCTCGAACTAGCTCGTGAGTGCGAGTCCACGAGCCGATTAGCTAGCTTGCCCACCTCTGCTACAGAATGAGGTATAACGTATTCTTTCAAATCGTAAGTTTGTTAGACTTAGGAGCAAGACGCCGAACGGATGCGGTAATTTTGACCTCTTGTGGAATGGTGAATGAGATATAGTGTTGTACACAAAATTGGATCTAAAACGCTTATGATATGGAAAGATGCAGAATTTAACGTGCTTCAATTTCATACAAATCAGTTTTTTCAAAAAGTATCCCGTCAATCATTTATATACTGAATAGTAAGTATATGACCGTCGCGACTTTTATTTACGGTGGCTCTTAAACTATTAAACCAACTTTATTTTCAGTTTTTCTCCTCGAAGATAATCTCTCTAACAAATGTGAGGAAAGTTTTGAGTAGCTCAAGGAGTTTCCAATCTGGTCTGTGGCAAATCAAGGTCCTATCGAAATTACCAAGCCCAGGTCTCTGGAGAACCGTAACCGTAGAAAACCAAGTCCTCGAATTCCAATGATACTTTTCTTGTAATAGCCTTATCGTGTACAGAAAATATTCCTGAGCAAATCAACAAAGCCTCTGAGCTCTCTCCAGCACTGTTTCATCAAACAGCATTTAATTTAAGAAAAGTCCCATGTGTCACCAAAATTACTCGGAAAAGACGAAAAATATGTCGTTCGTTTTTTTACTCATAAGTCTAGCAAACTTGCGATTTGAAAGAATACATTATACCTCATTCTGTAGCCCTATCAATTGTGCATCTTTCTATATACAAACTGTGCCTAATCTCTGTCTGTAGAAGAAACCATAATCATTTTTATGAAATTCTCTAGCGAATGGTATACAGTAGTTGAGGTTTGCTTTGAGCGAAAGAGAAGAATGAGGAAAATACTCTAAGCAAAGTTCATCCAACGAGAGAAAAGTTGGATGCGAAAATTTTTCCAGGGGGCGGGGGCAAAATGTTTTTTTAAGGTGCTAGTTTTAAACACGGAGAAAAAATGCATCAGACGTGTGCATATGAGCCTGATCTGAAAGGGGCCGCTTTTGGCTCTTATCGATCCCCGTCCTTCGAATCCAGCTATTGTCTTTATCAAGCAAACATTATTTTATCAAATCTGATGGATTTTGAGTTACTCGTTCAAATAAAAAAAACGTTTTCAACGTCTATCGACATGAGGCACAAGAGAAGTGTTGAAAGTTAAGCAAAGATAGATACAAGATAGTAATGTTAGCTCTCTTCCCCCGAAAACAATAGAGTTTTTTCAGCTTTCACAACAGCTAGAGAATACAGTTTTCACCAAAAGCCCACATTTTTAATGCTTAAACTTGTATAGCATCTCGGTGCTGTTGGCTCATACACTTTTATATCTCGTAGTAGGCTTTGCATGGATTAACAGTAAAAAACATTTACGTTTCATTGAAAGAGTTTAGTTGCATCTTATCTGTCGTTTCGTGAGAGTAAGACGAAGAAAATTTTCGCCTACAAAGAAAACATAAAAAGTGAAATTTCAACTCTCGCTTGTAACTTATAATAAGAAAGAAAACATTGTTGAGTCTCCTACTACCTACATAATAAACATATATATATCTTTTTATGTTTGAAATAATCAAAAGAAAATGTTGATGCTTATCTTATTAACAATTTTTCTTTGTCTTATATTAATATATGTATTAATTATACGAAATCGATATAAATATTTTTCATCACAAAATATACCAGGACCTCGACCACAATTTTTCTTTGGCAAAAATTTAAAACACTATGGAATGCTAAACCATCTTCTCGACAGTTACAAACATGGACAAAACAATTTGGACAAATATATGGAATTTATGAAGGAACAATACGTGTTTATATTGTATCCAATGCCAACTTTTTACAAGAAGTATTTATTAAACAATTTTCAAATTTTTATGCACGAAAAGGAGTCATTCAGACAAATACACAACTTGTAAATTTGTTTACTTCTGATGGAGCTACATGGAAACGTCAACGACATGTGATTAATCCAACATTTTCTGCTATAAAATTGAAAGAAATGGCGCCGCTTATTAATGATTGTATTAATCAATTGATGAATAAATTACAAACATATGCAGATAAAAATGAAGAATTTAATATCTATGAATTATATAAACGAATGACAATGGATGTTATCTGTGGGTTATATGAATTTTCTTTTTATGTCAAGACAAATAACGGACTTTTTCTCCTTCTTAGGTCGATGTGCATTTGGTATTGATACTAATATGCAAAATGATCCCGATAATATCTATTTGAAAAAGGCCTATAGAGAGTATTTGCCACTGATTTTCTTCACACAACGTTCTCATTCACAACGTTCTACGATGAAACTAAGTGCACTCATACCATCATTCAATTCATTATTTATTAAATTAACGTTTTTACAAAATAATCTAAAACGACGTATAAATCAAATATTTCCATCGTCGATTGAATATTTCGAAGAACTACCGGTGCTATGGTTGGGTAATCGTGTAACTGAAGTAATTGAAATGAGATCTAAACAAGCTAAACAATGAGTCGATTTATTACAATTAATGTTATTAGCAGCAACACGAAGTAAGATAGAGGTATGTGTGAATATCGTCTGAATTTTTCTTAAAAAAATTAAATGTACGTTGTTACGAAGCGTGAAACAAGTTGTAAGAATGTTGTAGTTGCGGAAGAAGCTACAGCAAAAGTACTAACATACACTGAAGTTAGAAACAATGTTGCTACATTTATGCTTACTGGCTATGAAACAACATCGACTGCTCTTGCCAATTGCACGTATGTATTAGCCAATCATTTAGATGTACAACAAAAATCACAAGAGGAAATTGATCGATACATTTGTCGATGATCAACAAAATCCGGATTATGATAGTGTCAACCGCATGGAATATATGGATATATTTGAAGTTTTGAGAATGCATCCAATTGCACTTACAGCAGGTAGTCGACAATGTATGACGGATACAATTGTATGTGGATATAAAATCGCGAAAGGTACACTTCATTTATGATAAATCTATACTGTTCGCCCAAGCGACATGTCCTCGACTCGACTCTTCCGCGACCGACACTTCGGAGGGGCACATCGCAGTAACAGTGGTTAGATATCAAGTTTCGACAAAATAGTGGAAGAGATTGTATTTTGCAGGGTCTCGGAAGAGTCTATAGTGCGAAAATCGGATAAAGGAAGCAGCCGTGCAATTTTTGTAGAAAATTTCCATGAGTATAAGTTTTCTAAACATCAAATTAGGTAAAGCAGAAAAAAGCAACAAAAACTGTAAGACAAAATTAACATCACCTCAATTAATCGATTGGTTTCATTGCTCAGAGTTCGATTGAGACCGGTTGAGAACGGACAAGATCTCAGTGAAGAAAACTTATGTGGTCGAGCTACCTCGACTGACCAGTTAAGAGTCTCAGAAAAACCGACAGTATACGATACAGTCAGATACTTGATATCACCGATCTGGTTGTAATTTTGACCGTATATAGAACCAATATAGACTAGCTATATCTGACCCACTTTTCTCCCTGGGCGAACGTGACCCAGGCTTCAAATGTTCAGGATAGATAGAGCAAAACGAGCTTTAAACTTCGAGGCAAAAATCATTCTGACACGTTTTAAAGATTTTTTTCCTCTAAAACCCGGCTTTTCGAGATCTCTTTTTGAATTTTTTAACAAAATTTAGTCAATCAAATCTTTTTATGCAGTTCGTATGTCTGACTTGATAGATTCAAAAATTTACTTTCAAATGAGATGTCGTCGCACACAATGCAACGCATCGTTATTGAACTGTTGTTTTTTATCTTTGTATATGTAAGATGCCGGAAATTCAAAATCATAGCAATTTCTTTTCCATTTATTGGCACATGGATAGAGCGCATCGAGCTGAGAGATTTTTGCCTTTCTTGGGTTAAGCTTGATCGAAAAATTTCGTTTACATTGTAAAAGATAGAGAAGTTTGCGTAGAGTTTAATCATATATATTCCTTTTGAAATAAATATTTGCCATTTTTCTACAGCACCAGAAATGCTGAAAGCCATTTAAAACAGGGTTGCTCAACTGAAGAATTAGAAAATTTGAAACAAATTTTTGTTCAGTTGGATAAGTGTTAAAAGGAGGGGCCACATACGGTTAGGAATCGACCCACTCTCTTTTCCAGCAAAAATGGTCTCGTATGAAGTAAAAAAGTATTCCTATTCGATTCCAGGTAAAATCGAATGCTTTTGTTCCCCAAAATCACGTTAATTCCTCGACAATATCAACCCGATCGGCACCCTTAAAACAACGCAAAAATCATAAGTAAAAGCCGTTTTTCTCAAAGTCCCTACACCTAAACAGCAAAGTAAGTATACTGTTGGATAGCCCTTGAAATTCTCTACAAATTGAACTACTCAGATAATCTAGATCGGTCGGCCTGATCATCAGAAACATGAAAAAAACGCGTTAGACCTACGGAAATCAGCTGATGAACGCCGCTTTAGAAGTTTTTTCTGTTTTCTGTGAAATTTTCAAATCACTTTGTAGAGAATTTTATGGACCATTCAATAGTATTCTTTTGAAAAATATATAGTTTTTCATTAAGACAGAAAAATGACTAAAGGAGTTTTCTACAGGCGTTTTCAGTAGATCCAACGCGTTTTTTGCATGTTCTTGATGATCGGACCAACCAGTCATAATGAAAAATTATATATTTTTCAAAAGAATACTATTGAATGGTCCATGAAATTCTCTACAAAGTGAGCTGAAAAATTTTTTTTACTACATACGAGACCACTTTTGCTGGAAAAAGAGAGTGAGCCGATTCCTAACGTTATGCGACCCCCTCCTTTGGTTCTAGTAACAAAAGATGCAGAATTTCTCGGTGTATCTGAAGGTATGTTTGTGTGCAAGTATAGATTTACTTGTTCCTGCTTTGGAATATTCAAAAGATTGAAAAACGTCTTCGATCAATGAGATTTTTGGCGGTGTTTTGCAAAAATTGAGGAACAAAAATTATTTTTTTAATATGAACAGATATACAGAATTTCAAAGTCTAACGGATGTCATTCTTTCCATGAGTTTATTGTCTGTGGTAATAAATGATGAATTTGCGATATTTACTTATACAATGAACGACGCCAAAAGTCAGATAAAGAGGCATATTTGTAACCGATTTCCATGACGGTTAAACATCGTCCCAAAATTTAGTTTTGTAACTGAAATATTAAGACTTTATTCTAGTTTTTAATTTTTTTGTTTGAATCGCGCAACAAAACTAGTTTGAATACTAAAAATGACACTTTATTCTATACAAAGTGCTGAGCAACTCTGCTTTTTATGGCTTTCAGCACTTCTAATGCTGTAGAAAAACGGCAATGCGAAGAAAGTTCGCATGAGTAATGCGATGATTGTGTGTCAATAAACGAGTTAGTTATTTCTTTATGCTGCAACATCATCAGCAGCACACGGGAAAAGGTTTTCTAGTATCCCTTATAGGGAACCTTGGACCTATAAAACTTTTATAAAAATAATCGGCGAATAACCATGGGAGACCCCACTTAAGTTAATGATGATATACTACGTTAAGAACCGGCCTCGTTTGTCTTCTTCTTTTGCTTACATATTTCATCTTTGTTTGGTCAGGCTACTTTCTCTTGTTTTCTCTCTTCGCTTCGCTATATATATATACACATGTATTGTTAGTTCAAGTGCAGCTACATCTATTTTATTTTGCTGTGACCACACGTCTGTACAACCTTATGTTTTTCTAAAGAAAACTAAACTAAAAGAAAACGCTTCGGTTCATTATCATTGGAGCATTGTTGATCTAACACCTTGTTCTACTGACCCAAAGTACCGATTGCTGTCTCTTTCCGTGTTTCAGATATAAAGAAGACGATTCTTGTGTCAATAACCGTTCATCATTGCACTATATGTTCGGTCTCTACAGGTAACAACCATTCATTTTTACGTCACATCAGAAGAAAACGTTTCTGGTTCTCCGTAACAGATATGCGCCAGTTCGAAGAAAATAAATATAAAGGACGGTCTGTAATATCCAGAAAAACGGTAACATAGTTTTTTCTCTTTTTTTTTCATGGGAATATCAGACAGGCGCCTATTTTTTTTCTTATTTTTTAAGCTAGCTTAAGCACGCGGTTAACTGAGCACTTTAAACGAGCGGTTAACCGACTTAGATTGTTGCATGCTTGTTCCATAATAGTTCGGATGTCCCAATCACACTATTTTGGTCGTTTAGCAAGCCAAGTTTGTTTTGTTACTAATGTAAAAGTTGGGAGTGATTATAAGGTTCCTTCTTTCTTCCCATAAGTCCATTATAGATGAAAGAAGGCAATTTAATATCAAAGCGGAAAATCAAGAGACACATTGAAAGAAGTAGAAAATCGTTCCCGAACTCAATCGTACACTATTTTCTAGGAATGCCTATATGCATTCGCCGTGGATTTTCTATTTGAAAAATCACCAAAAAATGTGTGTCGATTTTGTTGAAAATCAATGCTGATTTTCCAGAATACCGTCAGAGTTTTTCGAATCTAAGAATAGAGATTTTCTAAAAAATCGACGTGCATTTTTATGAGAAATCGATCGATCTTTTAGAAAATATGTCTACATTTTTCGAAAAATGCGCGCCGAATATCTAAATTACAGAAAATCTAATTTTCTAAAAAGAAAAATTGCCAGCGAATGCCTGTAGGCACTCCTGGAAAATCGCTCTTTTTTTTCTATAGCTTAGTTTCTACTTTACAAGTACGTCAGAAAATCAAGACGAAAAAAAAGGGCTAAAGTTTTGTCCTCTGGAGCAAAAATATTTTAATTTTTAAAAGCCCAGTTTCTCTTTGGCAAAGATCCGATTATACGGATCTTCGAGGCCGAGAACTGGAGGATGTTCCATTTTGAAGAAAACTCCGCAATCTACAAGATTGACTCCTTGAAAAAGTATTGTGGTAAGAGAAAGGAAAATAAAAATTTCGAAAGTTAAAAAGTGAAGTTTTGTCAGAGTTACGCAACAGACCCTCTCATTTTAAGATATGCTGTAGAGCTCATCGAGTTACATATACCCTGAAACTTTTCTCAAGAAAAATATTTGTCTCAGAATAATAGAACTGAAGGCTCGTTCTTTACGCTTAGTCGACTGGAGAAAGAAAAAGTATTTTTGAAAAGTTGTCAAATTTTCTGCAAAAAAGGTAAACATGCTGGACGGCTTGTCCAAGCGTGACGCTGTGACATTTTTGACACACTAACTTGAGCTTTTCTCAAAAAGTGTAAAAGCTAGAAACTTCGTTCTTACGCCATTCGACGCAGCTCGCCATACTCTACTTTTGATATAAGAATGAAGGTATGTGGCTAAAGACTTGAGTTTTTAGAACCGTTTTTCGGCGCGTGACGCTGTGACAAAAAAAGGCCCTAAATTCGAAGATCTTCTCATTAAAAGCTAATTTGCTGCGAAATTAGAAGAGCTAATAAAAAGCACCTCGAGCAAAGTTTGTAGAGGAGTAAACGAGCTACTGATTGCTAAAAAAG